GAGGAAAGTAAGGACACACAGGAGAATTCAGGAATGCTAACCACAGGCTCACGAGCAACGACAGGACCCTCCTGGCCAGAGGCCAGACACGCAGCATCTCCATTTGGAACCAGAGCTCACACGGTCTCACATGCACATTTGAAAATGGTTTATGTCTAACTTAAAAGCCCACTCGCCGAAATCTCACAGAGTTCAATTTTGCAAAATTATATTGATTTACTAGATTATAGAGCTAAGTGTCCTTCACACAGAGAGCTACCATTAAGATACATATGAAGAACCAAATCGGTGAAACCTAGTAAGAAGTATAAGTGCATTAAACTTCTCCTTTCCAGACCCTCACATTTATTTTTTATAGAAAACTAAACATGGAAGATCAGTTGAACTTCCTTATTTCTTTCTATGTTTGACAGTTTATGGGTATGTTTTATAGATGAATACAGGTAAATGTGGCTTAAAGTAAGATAAATTTTAAGTTAGCTCAGGAGGCTGTCTTAATGGAAGAGACGCTGTTATATATCACTGTACTCAGGGCTGAATTTCCATAATTTTTATTTAATATCAGCTGGTAGTCAGCGCACTGAGGGCTACATTCTCTTCTCCTCAACACGGGTCTGGTCTGCAATAATGCCCTCACTTAACCTTCCTTGGCAGCTGAGTCCAAACGGAAAAGACAGACAAACATGGAATGGATGGGCAGAAGCAACTGTATTTTGAGAAGCTACAATATATAAATCTGTTTTGTCTCCCTGTTTCCGCATCCCCCAACACCTACCACAGTCCTGGTGCATGATAACTTCTCCGTGAAGCGATGTTCAGTGAATAAGTTGATTAAATAGTAACTACTTGTTGTACCCTCTAACCTGTTTCAGAGAACATGCCCATTGCTGCAAGAAGCAAGCAAAGCCAAATTCAGCTCCGGTGTCGGAGCCTGCTTTGAACCCCTGGCGTCACTTGTCTCGGTTCCGGTCTAAACAGCCTAAGGCTCAGCAGCACCCCTTCGCCATATGGCTACCACACTGGGCTCCATCCAAACGCCACAGAAGCCGAGCCACCCACGCCACCCACGTGCTGTCACTTTCTGGAAATGTTGATTACATGAGATCCGTGGCAAAGATAACTGCCAAAGATAATTCGTAGGCAGATGTTAACCAACCCATCCAACTCATCTCCTATTAAAGTTATAGCTCCAGAAATTGAATTCAGAAGAGCATTTAAACCCAGAAAACAGACCAGCCTCTGAAATACGTACCCGTCAGAGGGGAAGCTGAGCTTCGTGTCTCCTTTGCCCAGACGACGCTTCCAGCTTCATGCGGTGGGGGCTTCCTATGGCCAAGGGCTGGTTCTGCCAAAAGGCGGGTTAAAACCCTCACTTTGAGGTTTAACTGTATAGTTTCACCATCTAAAATGTTAAGTTCAACTCCAAAATGAAGTCTCTATTCACTCTCAGTATAAAAACAACCCGAAGTCACCAGAATGCCTTCCTGATCCTGTGTCCCTTTGGCCATTTCCTCTGGACGTGACGTTTTGTGGGGACAAACAATTCATTATGTTTATGTTTCCTATTGGGGATATTTTAGTGATCTATTTCCAGAATGAATTTAAACTGATTTCTGAGATTCCATGTATCATTTTTTGTTCAAATGATCATGAAAGGTCATTCATCTTTAAAGAATTTTTTTAGGAAATTGTAGACTACTTTTTTCTCCTGTGGAAAGCGGATCTTCAACAGGAGCATACTTTTCCAAGATCATTCTCACCAACTGTGTTGAAATAAAATGTATACTATCTTTCAGTAGAGCTCCCACACCTGTGTGAAGCAATGTAATCATCTATTAGTTTTACTTAGCATCTATATGAAGTAACTGATGTTATAATTCATGGTAAGAAATCTATCTAATTTTTTTAAAGGTTGAAAGAATTATATATATATATATATATAGAGAGAGAGAGAGAGAGAGATTGCCATGTCAATGATAAGATAAAGCTGGAATTTTAAAGAACACAATTTCGATCTAGTCCTTACAGGATTGAAACGAAATTAAAATGCAGAATATTTACAGTTTCCATTTCTGGAGACTATTTACATCTTCAGTTTTTGCCTGCTCCTTAGACCTGCAAGGAATCTGGCATTTAAAGACCTGAACGTGAGTTTTCACTAGGTAATGTATACAGCCGGCCCATGTTTATCGCGGTTAATCAGTTCCAGACTCACCACGATAAATGAATTTCCGCGAAGTAGGATTCTTTATTTATCTACGTAATGTGATTTTTGCTTTTCTAAATGTATGGCTGACATTCGGTTTTTGCAGCTATGTTACCTTTTACGATGATAAATACTGCATGCACATGGCTAGAGTATACGCTGAGGTTAAAAAGACCCTGGAACAGGCAGCCGCACCCCCTCCAGCTTCGCTGTCCAGACGCAACCACATTTATTTGGGCGGCTGTACGTGGTTAAATCTTATCTCTAAAATATGCTTATTTTCCCACTATTTTTAAACTCAGTTTCAAATATTGTTTACTGACTTTCTGCTCTGAGGAATGAGGATTTAGGTCACAGCCAAAGTCAGTTTCTTTCTTGTCTCCTCATAATACACTTAGGACAATTCAGCTTGAGCCTTCTCAACTTTGTAGCTTCGAGCCTCATATTTAAATCTGGACTCTTTCCCATCAGCTATAGGAAAGCTCTCCTAGCACCATGTTTGGACGTATGAAGTTAGTGACACCCCGTCTTCCTTTCGTCTCTTCTCCCGATTTTTCATTCTCTCACATATGACCTTGACCTGGGTCATCATGGCGGGAAACACCTTGTGGTTTCTACAGCCACGGAGCAGATGAACACCTGTCTTCTGTAATTAGTTTGGGGGCTGGCTCTGCAAGTGAGGCGTCTGTTATTCTGACAATGCTCACATCGTTCTTTCGGAGCTAAGTGGTGGACGCATGTCTTCCAACGTCTCGGCCTCTGTGCCATTCCAAGGGGCATATTACTAGAGTTAAGTTCAAATAAAGTCTCCTTTTATGTACATCAGAAAGTGCCTTCACCATACCCTGTCTGTCCCAGAGGGTGTCAGATAGCACATGCACAGACCGATGCCCTTATTTCTGAGGCCTCCTTGCTGGGTGTCTGTTCACTCTGGAGGAACTGCTCTCGGGACCACCGCACATCACGGAGACAGGAGGCCGCTCTCCCAGTGCATGGCTCGCCCTGTCTTAATTGACTTGCTCATTTTGTTACAATATTTCTTTGTAAGAAAAAGCCCATTATAGTCAAACTCTGGAAAGTTTGTGTGTCAGAAAATTTTCTTATTCTGGCTTCCTCTGATTTTCCCCCTAAACATAAAGGCACTGACTTCGTCCGCCAGGGTCCAGCCCCGACAGTGAGGAGCCAGCGCCAGTCCCCCCCCCCCCCCCATTCGCATGTGGCCGGCTCGCATCCTGCCTCTGAAAAGTTCTCACTTCCTTTATTACCGTCTGCTAAAATTTCACAGGAATTTTTAAAACCTTTTTTTTTTTTTCATTCATTATGTTGTGCCCTTTTAATCTGAATACTTAGGTTTCAAAGCTGGGAAAATTCCTTAACATCTTAAACCAGAGTTACTTTTCACATCGTATCTAATTTCGCTATTCATATTTTGTTGAATTTATTATTCATGCCTAATGGGAAAGAAAACATACATTTTGTTTTGTGGTCATTTTCAGGGGGCATGTGTCTTCCTATTTATTTCAGTATACTTACATTTTCATGCACCCGCCATCTGTGAATTAAGAAATATTTAGTTGGTCAGATTACTTTCACTCATGTATTCAGAGAATATACTCAACTTTGTAGATATCACTAAATAGTACAAAATATAATATTTTCCTTCATCATCTTCTTGATTGCACAACTCAGTGTTCGGCCAGGTACAAATGATTCTCACGAGGAAGTTCTGAGCTGAAGTTAGTTGTGATCCTGATTTGCTTTGGAGATCTGTTCTTTCTCTTCCAAGCACACAGGAACCAATGGGAACTAACCAGCAATGCACCAATTTTGAGGATAGGCAGAGGAGAATGGAAGAAACACAGAAAAGGTTTTAAAAACTTTTTAGTAGAAGAAAAAGAACAGAAAGAAAACAAGTGGATAGGAAAGAATATTCCCCTGTTAAGACCAAAGGCCAACACATACAGACACCTGCTGCCTTTCACAATGGGTATAATCCATCACGTTTCAATGTCACTGTTTAAACATCTCACAAAATGCCTGGGTTTCTGTTTGGTTTGGGTTTTGACATTTTTGAAGTCCAAGATTTTCCTAAAATCTTATTTGATAAAAAGATTACAAAATTTTAGCAAGGTCATTGATTTTCAACCTGCCTACAGCATCGATGGATACTCAGTATCCTTCATGGCATGTGCTCCAGGGTCCCAGGGCTTGCGTTCTGGGGGCCACGTGTCCCTGGCCCGCTGTAGCTGCTCTTCCAGGCCCTGCTGTCTGCACAAGGCATGTTCACTTCAAACTCTCTTTCAGGCGGACTGTGGTGGAGCTTTTGTTGTTGTATTCTGTAACAACATCTTCCCCGGAGCTGCAAATTTGTCAGTACAAAATGAAAACCTGCTTACAGAGTTCCTTCTGGATAGCAGAGGTTGTCCCAAGTGTTGACACACAGGGGCAGGGGAGGGGGAAGAGCTACTAACCAGGTAAACAGGTCCATCAACAACTTGTTTAATTTTCCCGACTTCTTAAAGACACAGCTATGAATTGGTATAATGATAATGCCTTTCCTCATTTCTTTCCTTCCAGATTGTACAGATCATTCCCTATTTTTAAACTTTGTATTTTAGATTTAGAGTCTCTCAAAAGTAAGTCTTCATGGTTCTACACCCAACATGGATGATCATTCACTCAGAATACGTAATATTAATCACATGCCCAGGAGTGCTTGTTTTGTTCCTGTGACCATGTGTGTTGGAATCATTGCCCACGATCACCTAACCTGTTTATGTTTCTCTAATTTCAGCATGTGGCAAACTGATGAAAATCACAGGGCCAGTTACAATCAAGACTTCTGGAACCCGATTTGGTGCCTGGATGACTGATCCTTTAGCGTCCGAAAAAAATAACAGAGTATGTTTCTTCCATAAACACCTTTGCTTAGAATTAATATTTATTTATGTTTTTTGTGTACTGGACTATTCATTTCCTTTAAGGATATAGTTTCAACTTGAACACTGTTACATCACTGCAAATATCTTTAGTTTGATCATATTAACATAGCTACAAACTTATTTTAGTACAAGTTCCATCCTATAATTCACCAATATAGTGAGTCTAACTTTTATTTTTTCTAGTCTTGTTTTATACTTTAAAGGGCTAATTACAAGAATACAAAATTCTCTCTATAGTTCTACTAAAACCTGTTCCTTAATATGAAAAAAATTAATAAATAAGTGAAAAACTCAAAAGCTAACCAACTCACAAAACAAGCTGAAATATTCCTGGCATCTAGAGGTAATTTTTAAGGAAATAACACTGAACACTGGGCGGGGGGTGGGGAGTCATTTTCCTCAATTGGCAAGGCCTGTATTCTGTGGATCAGTGTACTGGAAACTTACCATAGCTCTGTTTATGTTCTATTTCAAAACTCACCATACACTAAGATTCTCAAGGGATCCAAACAAGATCAGTAGCTATATTAGTAAAATGATTACATTAAAAGATAGTTGTACCATCAAACTGGTCCAATGAGCATGTGTTAGTTACTAGAAGGTTCTGGGGTATCCATAAAAGAGAAATATATTAAATGGTGTAAAGTCAGACTATACATTTTTCAGAGCAAGTTACAGAACAAGTAAATTTGCTGGAGGTGGTATTTTTGCGGTTATTGATCAGATTGACCCATCAGGTAATTAAACAAAGTGATGTGATTTGTACTGACATCTGTCTAGTGCACTCAGTCACAGGCTCTGAATGGTCAAAAAAGAACAAAAAGCAAATCAACTTCAAGGCAGAAAATTCAGCTGTTTCCTTTCCACATCGACCATGCCCCTATTTTGCAAACACCTGCCGTGCTCTCGGCCGTAAGAGAATTTTCTCCAGAGCCCGAGAGTAGTGATAGGAGTGTGCTGACTCTGTCTTTATTTTGGAATTGTCAGAAAGGTACAGAATTTACATACTCCATTTGTTTATTTATTTTTCCATCTTCCCAGGTCTGGTATATGGACAGTTATACTAACAACAAAATAGTCCGTGAGTACAAATCCATTGCGGACTTTGTCAGCGGGGCCGAATCAAGGACATACAACCTCCCTTTCAAATGGGCAGGAACTAACCACGTCGTCTACAACGGCTCGCTCTACTTTAACAAGTACCAGAGTAACATCATCATCAAGTACAGCTTCGATCTGGGCAGAGTGCTTGCCCAGCGGAGCCTGGAGTATGCTGGCTTTCAAAATGTCTACCCCTACACGTGGGGGGGATTCTCCGACATCGACCTCATGGCTGATGAGATCGGGCTGTGGGCTGTGTATGCAACTAACCAGAACGCAGGCAACATTGTCATCAGTCAGCTGAACCAAGATACCTTAGAGGTGGTGAAGAGTTGGAACACTGGCTACCCCAAGAGGAGTGCTGGGGAGTCATTCATGATCTGTGGGACACTGTATGTCACCAACTCCCACTTAACGGGAGCCAAGGTGTACTATTCCTATTCCACCAAAACCTCCACATATGAGTACACAGACATTCCCTTTCATAACCAATACTTCCACATATCCATGCTTGACTACAACTCCAGGGATAGAGCTCTTTATGCCTGGAACAATGGTCACCAGGTCCTGTTCAATGTCACCCTTTTTCACATCATTAAGACTGAGGATGACACATAAGCAAATGTAATTTGTTTTCACTGATCTAAACAGTGACATTTGTGATCAACTCTCTAGGACCCCTTTGGTGTTTTCTTTATTATAATGTTCCACCATTTCTCCAAAGCATTTTTATTATAAAGTTGGTGTTTCAAAAAAGCAGCAGGCCTGTCTAAATTCACCTGTTGGAAACCATCTGAACTCCTAAATTTACAAGGCCTATCATGTCCTTGTCATGAAAAGCATTACAAAGAGCTTAAGTGACTAAAGTCAGACTTTTAGCAAAAGATTAATGGTCTGCCTTATATTAGAGTCAGAGACTAATGGTAGCTTAAATGCATGAATGTCTCTTTCTACTTTTTTTCTTTTTTAACTCTGCCATTTTTTACTGTCTCTAGCTCCACACCAGGAAACATTCTGATAGGAATCAGGAAAACACAAAACAAAAAACAAACAGCACTTTCTCCCCATTCCGTTTGAAAAGATACGTGAGGATTTTCTTTACATGGAGAGAGAACACGAGTCACTTCCCTGTCCCTCATCCTTGACGCGGTGCTGACAGTCATTTCTAAATCTCTTCTAACACTTGATCGGCAATATGTATTTCTACCATCGAAACCACCATTGTGCAATTGTATCTCTTCACTTCTGTGAAAGTAAGTGATTTTTTTATAGAATACACTGAAGTTTAATCTCAGTAATTATTATGGGTCCATTTTCAAGCGTGGTCAGGAAGGAAGTATCTTCTCGGCGTACCCCTTTACATAGTATTAAGAGCTAAAAAGAAAATCGAACCAGGTCCCTTCCATCGAGTTTCAGTTCACCCCAAATCCTGGCCCACTGACACGGGACGCTAACCAGATTCGGTACAGACCAGTGACTCACTCTCCCTGTGGAAAGCAGCCCTTACCGGGGCTTGCAGAGAGGAGCTGAGCCACTAACTTGGATTGGAGTTGACTATACTCATTTATAATGCAACCAAACAAATTTTGTTCTTCATAACTAAATATATCAGTGTTGTAACTTATATTTCACACACAACTTGCAATAATGTGGTTCCTTGTGTCAGCATTCTAAAAGTACATGAAGCACATATAACAACTCTTTTAAAAATTCTGTAATATCATCTAGATTTACGTTATAAACTCTGGAGAGTTATTGGCCAGATTTGTGCAAAAGAGAATGATAGGAAGACTTGGGAGTTGTCCGTGTCATTTAAATTTACGAACAGCCAGTTTGGAAGGCAACCCCTGCTTACCGCGATTCACTGTGTGTGCAGAAATGATGTAACCAAAAAAGACAGCTTTAGGATTTTATGTTAACAACTCCAAACACATATGATCGATATATATTGAACATCTCTTTGAGTTTGGATAAACGTTCCATATTTTAAAAATACTCATCTAACGCAGTTTTACAGAAACTAGTATGGGTGAGTTTTATAATTTAAAAAGTATAGAATATAATAAATAATATATAACTTAAATTGTTGTAAATGTTTAGTTTCACACATACATGATATTGTAATTTCCTTTGTAAAGTAAGGATATAACAATTCAGATAAAGTATTGTATAAAGAAATGCTAACACTTAAGAGTAATTCATTTCCGTTGTCACAAGTAAAACATCATTCTCAAATAGCTCACTGTCAAAAATGTAGGATTAAATAACCCAGTCTTGGGTTAAAGTGTCCAAGTTTAGCAAAGATCGATTGATCTCTCTCTTTCTCTCTGTCTGTCTCTATCTCTATCTCTGTCTCTCTGCCTCCTGGGTCCCTTTGCAATGTTGTCTTTTTTCTCTTTGAAAGCATTTATCTAAGTTCCCCTCTGCTTTTGAGTGTTAAAAAGTTTAGGGGATTCACTTGTCATTGTACACACGCCACAAAAATAATCAGCCGATACTTTGTATATGAGGAGTTTGTATGAAGAAAAGAAAGTCAAGCGCAGAAATGAAGGGATGTAATCGGATGGCCTCTAATGAAGATCTGGGTCTTCATTACTTGTTTGTCACTTTTGTTAAACGATGTAACATGGTATCATGGACAATCAGAACCCGGACCGTCACAGCTCCCTGGACACACGCAGCTTGTAAAGCAGCCTTGTGTCTTCTGTGTGAGTTTCGTCGCCACGTCTGATTCGTGGGTGCGAGTTGCCAGGGAGCGGCCTCAGCGACGGTCGCTGGAACCAGGGAACATGAGTTTAAAAGTGGGATCTGCATTAAGCATTTACAGTTTGAAAGCATTTTCCTTAATAAATTATCAGTTTTGTGCCTGAAATAAGAACTCTAATCACTGTTTTATTTTTAAACCTCAAATAAAATACATTTTATGAGGGGAAGTAATGAGTATCTTTAAATCACCTGCACCATCCAATCGGCAAAGAGATCCAAGCTCAGAAAATCTTAATCTTAAGGGAACTGGGGGACTGGTGTTTTGTGAATTAGCCAGATCATTAACGAACTTGCACGGCATTCGAATACTAAGCTGACTGTGGTCTGATTGTGCTGGAATCACAGCACTTACCCCTGCGCCTGCACTACGCCTCGGCATTCAGAAAATGGCAGTCTCAGAGCACTGCTATATGTGAGCTAACAGAAGATAGTGACAGATGTCTAAGTGCAGTGTTGCAAGAGACTGGATGAGATGCACCTGAAACTGAGAACCTGTGGTTTCCATTCCCACACTGAGTCCTTTCTTCTCTACAGTCCATGGTCTTCTCTCTGATCAAATCGCATCTTCAGAAAATTGATTTTTATCCCTGATAAGAAAATGGTCTTTATATCTGAAAATCACTACTCAATTATTGTTGAAGTACAACTATATAAAAGCGTACTTATGTTCATCTAAAATCAAGTTATTGGTCTACTAAGGAAAGTTTTATAAATAATATTCCTTTGGCTTTATTGTCCTTAAAGAATACATATTTTTAAAAAATTTTATCTGGTCTCCTGAGCATTCAGGATCACCAAATTTTTTTCCTGTGACAGCTAAATTTGAATACAATTGATAGAAAATTAAAATTATCTTTAAGTTAGAGCAAATATAAAAAATATAGATAATGCCACTTCCAAAAGCCAAGAAGTCTAGAAATATGCTTTCGAAAACAAAGTTAAAAACGGCATCTCGCTGACTTGCCCAGGCAGGTATGTTTCAGCCTTTACTAAATGGACAACCTGAGTCCCTGCAGGAAAGAACGGTTCTTTACAAAGTGTGCTTCATCTCCTCCATCATCACGTGACACGGACCATGAGAAGAGCTACTAAAAAGTGGGCTACCTGGCACTGTAGGCAGAGGGCATTAATTAAAATTTAGAAGCTATGAGATGATAAAAAACCTTAATCTCTCACTGCTCACAGCTATAAACAGTCTTTCTAGAAAGGCTCAGAGGCATTATCCAGTTTGGTAGGCTGTATCCATACCAAAATCAAGATCATGGAATAGTTTCTGGTTCTAAAATTAAATAAACTTGGCATAAATCTCTTGGCAAATAATTTGTTATAATCAGTGACTCTTCAGAGAAGGTCTGGGCCTTAATAAAATATGTTCTGTTCCATTGAACTTCTACTAGAAAAAAGTACAATGAAAACATTAGCTTATGGAAGAAAAACCAACTTTGCCCAAATTTTTTATTTTTCCATCATATAGTGAATTTGATTGATAACAATCCCTTGAGTTACAAAACTGAAGCACTGTTTAACCAATCAGAAAGACACCTTCCCCAGTTCACTTTACCGAGCTGATTTCTCTGACTCACATTTTAAAATGATGTCACATAGTTTAGCTCTTTTGTCTGAACAATTTTAATACAGAAATTTTCATCATGTTTAGAGTCAGCCTTGTCTCCAAAATGTCACACTGGAAGGCCACACACGTATCCCCTTTGAAGCTCAGTTTATCGATGGACAAATAAGTTTCATAAATCTAAATTATTATTAGGCGTGAGTTGAAAATAATATAAAAGGAGGACATAAAGGTTGACCTTGCCAAGAGCACCTACAACCTCTCACAAATCCAACCGTCGGTTCCTCATTGGGACGAGAAGCAGCACGCGGACTACGGGAGGCCTCTCTGAACGTCTTCACGCCACAAGAAGTTTGTTGGCAAACTACACACACGTATGCAGTTCGGGATCAAGCCGTGTCCCTGCCAAACGAGAGTCTTCCCGGAAGAGTTCCTACCCGTTGAGAAATATTGCCATAATCTAGCCTCCCTACCACAATTCGCTTGAAAATATCAGTAGACATTTTGAGAAAATAAATAAATATAACAAAGGTCTTGAAAAGCGAGCAAGACAGGAGCTGACTGAAAGAAGCATTCGCCATTTTAAACGTAGGCACGTTGTACGCAGAAATGTGACACGTTGCTGAACTCGACAATGCACATCTGGCCAGCTCTTTCTCTACATCATTCTTGACGTCACACCAATTCACGTGTTACCCATGTGTAGTTTATGTGCTTTCCAACTAGTTCCAACTGTACTATTTATTCATTTATTCAGAAAATCCCTGAGCAAAACTATGTGCCAGACCATTTCTGGGTGCTAGGGTTATAGCTGTCAAGAAATCAATAATATCTTCATGTACTTACAATCTAGTGAGAACAGGCTACAACAAAAATATTGATGAAAATATTGATTAAAAAGGAGTTTTGATTGTGCTAACTGATGTAAAGGAAACAAACAAGTCCGTGTCATGAAGAGTGACTGGGTACTGGCTAAGGGCAGGGGTAGGACGTAATGTTAAGAGGGAATAATAAAGGGATGTCTCCCCGAGAAGCAGCCTGCCAGAATAAATTCAGTCAGGGAATGGAATGTCACCGTCAGATCCACATCAAAATGTGATCTCTACCATTCTGTTTCTAGAAATCCACAAATCAAATAGTTCTCAATAGCTCTCTATGGTGGAAGTTGTGTGTTCTTTATTAACTTGGAGCTTAAGGATACACTTCTGGGGATGGCTGAACCCTGACAATATGCTAAATTTAGTATGCACATGTGGTCATACATGCTCCCGTCTAGGGGATTCACAGCTTTGGTCACACTCTCAAAGACAGCCAGGACCCAAAAGATCACCATGGGGTCAATGCCGGGCAGTTCAATCTCAAATGTTCTAAACACCTGTGTGTCAGCTCTGAATGTCTGCTGTATGTCTTGCAATCCTCAAGAGTTTCTGTTTGTTTCCGAGAGGAAAGAGACCATCTACTATTATTACTAACTATTTTGCTCAGAGGGACTCAAACCCTCTAAAGGGATTTTTTAATATTTGGACCAAATTCAATTATTTTTCTGTGATCAGGCCTTCAAGACACAGTCTTTTTGGATTCGATGACCCAGCGTCTCTATTCCAAGGCTGTAATTCGAAAGCAGCCTTTGGGCAGCACCAACAGAATCAATCTGAAATTGAACAGACGTGGTGTGCCTCATCAAACTTAATGCAGACGCCTCTTCTGAAGTTAGCTGCCAAGGCAATGCATGGACAGCGAGAGCTTAGAACTCTTGCTTTGGTTTAGCAGCTACCGTAGTTGATATGCATGTAATCTATAGCTACAGAAAAAAATTTGTTTTATTAAAAATAGATTAGTGTAGTCACATTTATACTGATAAAATCATAGAGAACCAAGGCTGTCAGTGATGTTTTCATCCCCACTCCCTCCGAAAGGACTTGAGAAGACATCCATTAGCTTCCCAAATTAAAGGGTGGGGTTTACACCTTCCTTTAAAATTTACAATCAAGACTGCCCTCTTACGCTCTTCCTTTAAGCCCCTATTCATCACCAATGTGATTCAAAAATAATAAAAATAAGTATTTATATTTTCCTTCCAGTGTCTATTTTTTTCAATCCTCCTTCAAGGGAATGTTTTTATTGACTTTAGAGAGAGAGGAAGGGCAAGAGAGAAAAAAACATTGATATGAGAGAGAGAGAGAAACATCAATTGATTGCCTCCCATGATCAAACCCACAACCTAGGTATGTGCTCAGATCAGGAATTGAACCCATAACTTTCTGGTGTATGGGATGACACTACGACCAAATGAGCGCCCCAGCCAGGGCTCTCCAGTATCTTAATCAAACACCTTTAGAAACTACTCTTGGAAGATGACGTATGCATTGAAAAAGAAGTTGACCATGTCCTTCTATAAGTAATGAGTTCTTATATTCCAATTCTTGCCTCTCACGTAGAGTTTGGCCCAGCTAAGTGATTAAAATGCATAGTTAATTTCTGATTAGCTTTTCTTGCCATTCTTCCTTAGTAAATGGGCACCAGACAAACTCAAACAAAAGAAGTCTGCTCACTGTAGTTGCTCTCTAATTTTTAAGGCTATTTCCTTTCTATCATTTCTTGTTAGGCTTGACAACAGTCCAGGGGAGAAAGGAGGACAAACATTTTCCTC